CCATTGACATAACATGGGGCAGCAAATTTAGCGATTTTTGAGCTTTCAAAACACCATAACTTCCGAACAGGAGGTCGAATCAAAATTTGATTTGCAGATTTGGATTCCTGATAAAATTCTACCCCTTATTCATAACTCATACGTTACATTTGAAGATTTTTTTATTTTGACCTACTTTTGGGACACCATATCTCAAAAGTGGGTCAAAATTCTTTTTGACGCCAAAAGGCTAACACTATTAGCACACTCTTGGCTACATGTATACACAATTTCGAAGAATATAATTAAAGTGTAGTGTCAGAATCGCAAAAATAAGGAAAAGCTTTGAATTTGACCTAGATTTTGACCTAGGCATTTTGTTGTCCAAATTTTCAAGATTAGAAGGTTTTGAGGTCCCCATCTTTTATGGGCTTCCATTATGTTTAGCTGTACTTAGTCTATTTCTCGTATTTTACACTTCAAAAAAATATTTTTTCCCATTGACTTAACATGGGGCACCAAATTTAGCGATTTTTGAGCTTTCAAAACGCCATAACTTCCGAACCGGAAGTCGGATCGAAATTTGGTTTGCAGATTCAGATTCCTGAGAAAATTCTGTCTTTAATTCATAGCTCATACGTTAAATTTTTTATTTTGACCTACTTTTCGGACACGCCATAACTTCCAAACCGGAAGTCGGATCGAAATTTGGTTTGCAGATTCGGATTCCTGAGAAAATTCTATACTTAATTCATAACTCAAACGTCAAATTTTGAGAATTTTTTATTTTGACCTACTTTTCGGACACCATATCTCAAAAATGGGGCAAAATACTTTCTGACGGCAAAAGGCTAACACTATTAGCAGACTCTTAGCTACATGTATACAAAATTTCGAAGAATATAATTAATCTGTTGTGTCAGAATCGCAAAAATAAGGAAAAACTTTGAATTTGACCTAGATTTTGACCTAGGCATTTTGGTGTCCAAATTTTGAAGCTAGATGGCTTATGAGGTCCCCTTCTTTTAAAAGCTTTCATTATATTTAGCTGAACTCAGTCTATATTTCGTATTTTTCACTTCAAAAAAATCTTTTTTCCAATTGACTTAACATGGGCACCAAATTTAGCGATTTTTGAGCTTTCAAAACGCCATAACTTCCGAACAGGAAGTCGGATCAAAATTTGGTTTGCAGATTCGGATTCCTGAAGAAATTCTACCCTTATTTCATAGCTCATATGTTAAATTTGGAGAACTCTTTGGTTTTGACCTACTTTCAGGACGCCATATCTCAAAATTGGTACGAGTAATCAAAAATCTGTTGGCACACTGATGAAAGAGCTGTTTCTAAGCTACATCATGAAAAAAAGACAAAGTTGTTCCCATAAATAATGACGAAGATAATTGATAGAATGTTGAAAATGCAAGATTTGACCTAGTTCTTGACCTTTGACCTAGATAAAAATTTGACCTAATTTCCCATCATCCCAGATACATTCCCTAGTTGATCATGTAAGCAACTTAAAGTAAGCTCTTCTAGTTGGTGAGAAATCTGGGAAGGAGGAAGAATAATAATAATAAGAAAACTGGCAAAAGCAATAGACTCCAGATTTTCATCTGGAGTCTAATAATAAAGAAAAGCTACAAAAGCTATAGGAGGCCCTTTCAGGAGGGCCTCCTAATAATAATAAAGAAAAGCTACAAAAGCTATAGGAGGCCCTTTCAGGAGGGCCTCCTAATAATAATTGACAAATCAGATACCAGTGAATGGAGTTGGATCAAATTTAATGTGCTGGAGAAAGGAGCTCACATGTCATTTATATATATCACATTATACTTAAAGCAGTGTGATGCATCCAGAATGTTCTTCAAGGAAGTTAATGTTTTTGAATTCATTATTGATAAAAGTTCAGCTCATCTTTATTACAATAGACCAGAAGTGAATTTTTGAGTTGAGTAAATGGTGATTATGTTGTTTTTATGAAGCGGGGAAGTCAAAACATTACAAATAGAAATTATAGTAAGCATTTGAAGATCATTAAGAAGCATTTAAAATCAAATCCACAGCAAATTTGAAATAATTAAATATTCTACACTGACCTCAGAGAAAACACTTCCGGTTTTATAATCCATGATTTTATTGATCAAAATTTTTTTATGATTCTTTCAATATCTGCTGAAATATGGTATGTATACTTGTGTAGATTGTTAAATTACAAAATAGGTAAGGTAAAGAAGATGTAAAAGTCATTTGATCTTGTCCCAGAAGCAATATTTTTTATTTTTATCGCCTAGAATTCCTTTAAGTTGACCTACAGAAAAATTAACAGTACAGACAACAGCATGACGCATGTTTCAGAAATATATTGTATAATCATGAATTAGAACATGTTACAAATTCACAGATAATATGAGAACTGCTTTTACATTGCATGCTACGTGTAGTTGGTACAACCAGTGTGTATTCAAATGAATGGACTCCTGTTATTGATGCAATGAGGGCTTTTGATAATCGTGCTGAGTCCAGTTTCAATAATCATGACTTTCTAAAAGCAATTTTAAGTGAACATAGTTATAACTAGCTATCCCACTGAATGTTTTAAGTTTGGTGACATCTTCACTGGTATTGGGTAATCTCGGTTTTTTTCCGTGTTACTAATGTATGATTTCTCCGCCACTTAAAAAATGTCAGAAATTTTTCACTTTCAATCAAAGTAATTAATATTATTGTTTGGAATTTGGGTACTATATTCCCAAAATATATCTATTTCGCACATATCCCATGTTTTTCAACCTGACCCCCAGGGGTGGTATGGGGGGGGGGGGGTCAATAAAATTGAATTTAGATGTCTATAGAGTATAACTTCATTATACTCAAATGAGAGGAATTGCAAATGTTGTATCAATTTTCAGATTTCTGCCTTGGCACCATAGTCAGGAAATTGTATATTTTTTCACATATTGTCACATGTGGTCTTTTGGGTTTGACCCCAGAGGCTGTGTATGGTGGTAGAGAAAACAGAAATTTTTGTTAACTTTCAGATCTCTCTGAAGTATTACTGTATTTTACTTAATTATGAAAGATACTATTTAAGAGCAGATTCCAAATAATGTATCAGTTTTCAGTTGAAGCCTCAGAAAATCCAACGGGTCTAGTGCACTTTCCATTATGATTTCCCCATGAACAATATGAATCATTTTTAGGTGTAACATGAAGAATACAATGTCACATAATAATTTGGAAAATATTTAAGTATTTGAACCCACATGGGCTGAGGTTGAGGTCATTAAGTTCAGCAAGGGTATATTGACTTGACATTGGATGTTTTCTATTGACTTAACATGTGGATACCATCAGATTCCAATGGAGGCCATCGGTTTCTATTGATTTTCACAAAAATACCTAAAATACACTATGACCTAAATTAATTTCAAATTAAATAATTTCACAATATGACACAAATGGTATATCACATCTGATGTGCAAATATAAAGTTTGCAATCGATTCAGGTCATACTTCAAATTAAAAGATTATACATTTTTTCATCATTTTTCTCCTACAAAATGGCTATAGAAAAATGCTTCAAAAGCAACTTTTACACTTATGAAATCCCATACAACTTTGTAAATCCAAAGATGATACTGTTATGATTCATTAATTAATAGCATATTTGGATAAGACGTAGGATTTTTTTTTTCAAATGGGTGCAAAATTCTCATTTTCACAATCCAGACCAAAATTGGTCAAAATATGCCAATTTTTCATGATTTTTCTCATTTTCAAGAAGTGGATGCAAATGGATTTTTAGGTCGGTGCAAGCCTATTTTCGAAATCTCAATTGGGTGCTGCGCCCACTTGCTTTAATGCTGGGGAGATCACTGTGTTATGATAGATCACTAATTCTTATATCCACACTCTGTATAACCTCAGCATTCATTGACTGATTACTGACCAGCAGGTATCCTGCCTTTTATTAATTGAAACTTTCTATAAGTATCACTCAGTAGGCGTAAGAATAAATGTGAGTTCAGTGTTTGTTAACACATCAATACATGTAATTATTTTAAGTTATTGAAGCTATCAACTGAGGATTTACTTGCAGAATCAAGTTGTATTATGAGGCAATAAAATGATATCATAGTATAATTGTCTGATATTGGGTTCATCCTATGATAAAAAATTTAAATCATGTTAGATTTGTTTATCACACAGATATGCGGCTGATAAACAATATCTTCACCGTAGTCTGAGTGCTAAGTAGTCTAAAGTGTTCAGACACCGTAGTCTGAGCACTCTGCCATAGTCTAAAATGTTCAGACATTCCCACATCATAGTCTGAGTGCTCCACCGTAGTCTAAAGTATTCAGACATTCCCACACTATAGTCTGAGCGCTCTGCCATAGTCTAAAATGTTCAGACATTCCCACACCGTAGTCTGAGTGCTCCGCCATAGTCTAAAATGTTCAGACTCTCCCACGGCGTAGTGGAAGCACTCCGTCATAGTCTAAAATGTTCAGACATTCCCACACCGTAGTCTGAGTGCTCCGCCATAGTCTAAAATGTTCAGACTCTCCCACGGCTTAGTGGAAGCACTCCGTCATAGTCTAAAATGTTCAGACTCTCCCACACCATAGTCTGGGCACTCCCTCGTAGTCTTAAATGTTCAGACATTCCCACGCCGTAGTCTTAGTTCTCCGCCGTAGTCTAAAATGTTCAGACTCTCCTCTATTATAGTCTGATATAAAATAGGTGAATTTAATTTAATATTCAATTGAATGCTGAACAAGTAGCAACCAATCAACATTTGAGTTCACTGATTAATGTTAGTTAATCTGTATTGAATATTCATGCTTGCTATCATTAGGTGTTGGCCAGAGATTTAAAACATAAAATTTTAAGGTTTCTGACACTGGAGTCAGAATTTTGAAAATTGAGTTGTGCCTCGCAATATATGTCATATTTGTTGTTTTAAAGTACATGTACTTCTCCCTTTAACTTGTTTTTATTTTGTATGTTTCAGCCCACATTTGGGAGCAACATTGTCACTCCACCTGGAAACCGTAAACCTGTGCCTCTTATTCAGTCCTCCCCTAGGCTCAGTAATATTCTGGAGGGTCAAGGTCAGGGAGATAGCCAAGGTCAAGGGGTCAAGGTCGATTATGTGAGAAGATCAGGTGTTGGAAGCGATATTGAAGGTAATTTGCATAGTTTAGACAATAAAAATGATTCCAAAAATAGAAGAAGACATACAGCATATTAGGTATATAACCTACAATTCATTTAAAATAATGATAATCAAAGTTCATCAGAATATAATATGTAAACCTCTGTATTTGAGAAGTGTTCCTGTTATTAAGGCTTAAAGTAAGAGACGGGTTTAATTTTATTGATCTTTGTTATAATACACTAATTAAAGCCATTGTATAAGTTGAATTTATCTCTCCTCATGTGCAAAGTGTAATTACTTATTCTGTTTGCGCTTCGTGATCTAAACTAAGAGGTTTAATGTCTTAGACATAAGATACTAATTTAGATCAGGTATCATTCTTTACATAATTTAGACTAATTTATATACAGTCGGCTTTGTTCTGTTTTGGGATTAAAATCAGTCAGGTTTTATAAAAACCCTCGATGAATATTTTGAACTTTGAAAATGTGCAGCCAGGCTTAGGTGGTTTAGAAGTGTTAGGTATATTTAGCTCAATAAGTTAGCCTGATAAGGGATCACCCATGTACCCATATGTCAGTCAATTTGTCCCTCAGCAATGGTGGTGCAAATTAAACAATTGTGGCTAATATAATAAGTTATTGAATGATTTGAAGTGCAATACAGGATATATTCTGCTCGAGAAATTGTGTATCTGAACGAGACGAAGTCGAGTGCCAATACAGAATATTGAGAGCAGAATATATCCTGTATTGCACTTCAACTCATTCTATAACGCTTTTATATTGTATGATCTCATGCCAATGCATTTTACCTAGGAGATAATCCCTAGAAATATTCTGTGTTCTCTATATTGCTACTGAGAATGTCCCTTCCGTACCAATATTTTCTTTATTGCCCCGGAGATGATCAAAGGGGACAATCTCAGTAGCAAAACAGATTGGTACAGCAAGAATTGACCAATCAGATCGTACCATAAAATGCTGTATTGCAAAGTTGCAACATATGTAATAATTTTCCTAGTATCAAGAAACTTCCAAGATAGATAACAGTTGGATAACATTATGAAGATAATATTTCTGACATTTAAATTTCCAAACTTGGCAAAAATTAGGCAATAGGCAAATTAAATGATTAGGCAAAATTTCCACATACATAGTATTTATATTTTTCTATGGAATAAATCGTTAATAAAAAATTATGCCATACATTAGATCCACTGTTTTGTTCAATAAATTACTACACTTTTTGTTATTTCCGATGTGTTTTTATATGACACTTGCTATTGCAGGAGACCAGACATTGCACTCCAGTGATATAGCACATGTTGAGATGGGACAAAACTCTACCCTTAACTCAACCCTCACAGCAACAGATGCTACAACTGCTGATAGAGAAACAGACCCTTATGCCATGCATAACAAACAAGGAACTGGTGTCAACAAATTGAACTCCAATTCAGAGAAATTTGATGACGCTGCAAACATAATGAAACCAGATACAATGACCCACCAGATGAAAGATTCTAGAATAGATAAAAAAGATGACATTCTAAAAACCCCAGATACCATGAGTCACCAGGTAAAAGATTCCAGAATAGATAACCAGAGTGTCAGGTTCAACATGGAAGATACACAAACACCAGAAACACCAAGTATCACTGATAAGGAGATAGAGAGCATCACGGGAAGATCAAGCACCAATAGCTCTGATACATACAGCTCTGATGAACGAAGTAGAAGTGTCACTCCTACCGATACATCAATCGTTAACAAAACAGGCGTCATGAATATCAGCTCAGTTAGTAAATTGATTCAAACAGCTTCAAGCAAGGCTAAACCAGAAGAGTTGTCTAAAATGATATTCGCAATGTCCCAAGCTAAAGCAACTGAGAAGCACAAGCAGCAGCAGATGAAGCTCCAAACAATTAAAGATGCAAATAAGCAATTGTTTGATCAGAGGGAGGTTGCTGGAACAGCAGATGTCAGTACAAATACAACAATTAATAAGGAGGCTATTGGAACAGCTAAATCAGGAACCATCGAGAATGGTTTAAAAACGAAGTCTTCTCTGGACCGCAGTTTGGGAGGAAATTCTTCAACAACCAATGAACCAACTAAAACTTACAAGAAACCTACAATTCAATCAGAAACCAGTGCCATAGATCTTACTGCTGACACATCAAGTGATAGTTTTGATAAGATCCAACCTCTCCATACTAGCCCACATGATACTGCACAGTGGAGCTCACCAAGAATGAGCTCTATATATAACAAGGGGACTGAGCAACATGAGGAGACATTAAAAATAGACAATGAAAATCATATAATTGAACCAAGAAAACTATTCAAGGAGGAATCCGCTAAGAAGTCACAGAGGGAGTCCAATGGTAACATCCCTGAGACACTTCCTGCCGTTTCTAAATCAGATAATAAAGATGTATCAAGATATAGTGGTTCTAGGGATTCCTTTAAAAACAAATTAGATTCAAGGCCAAATAATGCACAATCAAGATCAAGAGATACTGAAAGGAGCACAAAGCCTGTTAAAAGCCAGATACCAAGTTCCAATGGTGGTGTTTACCCATCAGGCAAAGTAAAGGAGGTATCTGACCATAATACCCAACCAAGTGGTGCTAATCTAAAGACATATAAACCCTCCAATACCTCAAACTCAAATGAAACATCAGATTTTTTAGAACCCGTTACATCAGCATCCGAACTCAAGAATTCACGTAGAGAGTACATGGTAGGGTCAAGTAAACCCAGTCAGAGACTCAGAGAAAATCCACCCATGGATATTGGCCAAATGCCAAGCGCTGATGGGAGTCAAATGTCAATTCAAAATGCACCTCAAGTGCCTATAAATGAACGTAAAAGTTTCGGGAAGAATAAAGCACAAAGATCAAACCAGCAACCATCTAATAATGAAGATATGGCCCAGAAAAACATCGTAGGATCAGGATCAAGAAGCAGTAAAGATCAGAGATCAAAGACAAATATATATCAGGGATCAAGAGTTGGCGCTTATCAAGGGTCACTCCCTGAAGATATGCACAGATTATCAAAAGATCGTGGAAGTGTTGAAAGTCAAAAATCAGTACAAAATTATAGCCAACAATCAGTTAGTCAAGAAAGCCAAAGATCATTGGCTGGTGAAAACCAACGGTCAGTGAGTAGAGAAAGCCAGATGTCATTGGCCAGTGGAAGATCGAGTGGTTTAACAATGAGTGAACTAAGTTCAGGAAGCTCGCTCACTATGGTGACCCAAACAGATGCTGGGTTAAGTTCATATGATCGTTCATCACAATTCTCTTCTCAGAGCTCAGCCACAGAGAAAGCCCTTGATAAGCCCAGTTCATACCTCCAGGTCAATAGAGACCCTATTAGGTCAACCACTTCACCTGAGAGTGAGATATCCGAATCTAGTGTGGGGAATGACACCTCAGGGTCCAGTGCTGGGAATAAAGAAAAGTTGAACTCAATGATATCTGGGAACTATGAGATCTCTAAAGATATAAAGAGATTGTCAACAAAAATGGACAGTTTTGAAATATCTTCAAAACAGGTCTCTGAGAAGTCTGTCAATGTTGCCATGGAGACTCATCAAGAGGTGAGGGACACACAGACAACCCCTGAAGTACAAACTGGTGCCCCCACAGATGCAAGAGCAACCCTAGAGCAATTGCACAAAAGACTACGTCTGGCAAGTACACCGAGATACGCATCTGGTGTGGTAACAGATAACACTTCTCCCGATTATATATCCAGGATATCAGGATTTGGGGATGATTCACATATGTTTACCTCCCCATTGGAGAGCTCCACTTCTACATCACATATATCCCCATCACCCCAACAACAGAAGTACAAAAACAGCCAACAACCAGGGACTTCAAGTGATCAACTGTCCAAGCACATTGAAAACATAAAACAATCACCAAAATATTCCCCAAAATCTTTTGAAAGATCCAGTTCTGAGTCATCACTTGATAGTTTAGTGGGTCAGAAGAAAAGTCCATCTAACCAGAGGCACAGAGCTAATCTATCAGATAAATTAAGTACAAGTTCAGATGTGAAGAATAACTTAAATAAGTTATCCCCCTCAAGATCCCAAATATCTAGTCAAATAAGTGGAGAGTCTACCACCAGTCAGTCAATCCAGGATAGTCATACAACCAAGCAGTCATACCACACTGAAAATGTTACAGCTGAGGTGCCCAATCCAAGGTCAATGCCTGCACCATTCAATGGTGAATTCCAATCTTCAAATGCTTATATTGGACAAACTCCAGGATTTGTCAGTTCTAATGCTTATGGACAGAGTAGAGGAAATGTCTACCTAGGGGACACTTTGAATTCAGTTCAAGGGGCACAACTGTTGGGACATACAGTGCCACCTATATCTGCTTTTCAGCATGACTTTTTACCCCATGCATCACAATCCATTCCTACACTTCTAACCAGCCAATCACTGAGCTCCACATCTTTGGCATCCAGTTATCTAACCAATAGACCGCCTAGAACAACTCGCCCACTTTCGGCACAGGAATACCAAACATCCTATAATGCAGCAAACATTCCCAAAAGGCCAGCATCCAAGTTGGATCACCATAGCAACCAAGTGCCATCTATAAGTCATAACTATAATACATATGGATATTCTGGTATGGGGACTCCTCTGGTCCATGGTGAGACCCCATTGAGTCATGGTCATGCTCAGACCCTCCCAGGGAATGGCCATACTTACCTGACCCCAAGTTCCATGCACTCCCTGATGTCACATCCTATGGGCAGTTCTACAGCTAGCTACAATACATTTACACATCCAGGTAAGAGAAATATAGATATTTATTCCATAATACTACTGTTTTCCCATACTTGGGCAATATCATATTGACACTAGGTCGTTGCGTTCCCGAGGTCAATATCATATAACTCTTCGGTCATATTGTCCCTCAGAATAAAACCCATATTCAATCCCTCCCAGTTAATAACCTATATACATTCATCCTTTATGCTCTTGCCATTACAATCAAAGGAGTTAGGTACCAGGAAAGTGCTCTTTTAACCAATTTTATCCAACCATGATTTTGATACATGTGTATTCACATATATGCAGTGGATAGTTTACCTTCATATTATACAGATCAATATTTTGCAGTTTTCCCAAGTATACAAGCTCCTGGTCAACTACGCATTCCAGAAGTCTGTTGCGTCCATCTCTCATCAACAGTCTCTTTGCCGATCACTAATCCCACCACTAGATGGCTTAAGTGTGTCCTGACGATCATCGCGCTCAACGTCAATGGCCAGAATAGAGATGAGAGGGCTTATGTGCCTTTTGTTATCAAACAGAAAACCATGATAGAACCAAACAGTAAAGAGGATATCAAGGTAAAAATTCAAGTTACCAATCCTCTTACAGATGTTATTATGATGACAGTTTGCTAAATATTTTTTTTATGTTTTGGGATAGGTTGGGAGAGGGATCGGATGTCATTGTAAAGGGATATAATAATTAAGCTTGTTTTTAAGAGGTTTCAATTGGGGTGGGTACATAAGAGACCAGGACGAGGACAAATTGCATCACAATTTCAATCAGATTTTTTGCACCTCGATATTTACATAATTTTCAAAAATTAGGTTCTAACTTGGTCTGGTTTACTTAAAATAAACTTAGTATCAAACAATAAATTTCCAATTTAGATAATATTTAGTCCAAGACAACCTGGTGTTCATGTTGGAGAGCTGCAGATTCTAGCAACATCTATAGTTGGTGATAATGCAACAGAGGAAAGCCTTCCAGTGAGGGTCACTCTCCAAGCAGTGGCTGAAGTCCCAAATATTGAGGTAAGTACCATTAAAGGTCACTCTCCAAGCAGTGGCTGAAGTCCCAAATATTGAGGTAAGTACCATTAAAGGTCACTCTCTAAGCAGTGGCTGAAGTCCCAAATATTGAGGTAAGTGTACCATTAAAGGTCAACCCCCAAGCAGTGGCTGAAGTCCCCAGTATTGAGGTAAGTACCATTAAAGGTCAACCTCCAAGCAGTGGCTGAAGTCCCCAATATTGAGGTAAGTGTACCATTTAAGGTCAATCCCCAAGCAGTGGCTGAAGTCTCCAATATTGAGGTAAGTACCATCAAAGGTCACTCTCCAAGCAGTGGCTGAAGTCCCCAATATTGAGGTAAGTGTACCATTTAAGGTCAATCCCCAAGCAGTGGCTGAAGTCCCCAATATTGAGGTAAGTACCATTAAATGTCACTCTCCAAGCAGTGGCTGAGGTCCCCAATATTGAGGTAAGTAGCATTAAAGGTCAATCTCCAAGCAGTGGCTGAAGTCTCCAATATTGAGGTAAGTACCATTAAAGATCACTCTCCAAGCAGTGGCTGAAGTCCCCAATATTGAGGTAAGTACCATTAAAGATCACTCTCCAAGCAGTGGCTGAAGTCTCCAATATTGATGTAAGTAGCATTAAAGGCCAATCTCCAAGCAGTGGCTGAAGTCCCCAATATTGAGGTAAGTACCATTAAAGGTCACTCTCCAAGCAGTGGCTGAAGTCCCCAATATTGAGGTTAGTACCATTAAAGGTCACTCTCCAAGCAGTGGCTGAAGTCTCCAATATTGAGGTAAGTACCATTAAAGGTCACCCTCCAAGCAGTGGCTGAAGTCCCCAATATTGAGGTAAGTGTACCATTTAAGGTCAATCCCCAAGCAGTGGCTGAGGTTCCTAATATTGAGGTAAGTGTACCAGTAAAGGCCAACCTCCAAGCAGTGGCTGAGGTCTCCAATATTGAAGTAAGTGTAGTGCACAACGGCACATTTTCCCTTTGAGATAATATAATATAGGCAGCTAATTGGTATAATTCTGATGTCAAAGCAATCTTAAAGATAGTAAAAACTTGAACTTACTTTTCTACATCAGTCCTTATGCTTTATCATTGTATTTTTAAATAATGCAATTGTTATTTTCTTTTTATAGTTAGAGAGACCACTACCCAGCAGTATGCCAGTAAGACTAGACAGTGATACCCTGGCCCAGGCTTGTGACTTTGGTGAGCTGCCTTGGGGGAGTGAACACTCCATGGCTATTAAGATATACAACAAAGGCAGGGCTAATGTCCCAGTCAGAATCACTATCAATGCAGTAAGTAATCTATTTAGTATTTATACATGTAGTAGGAATGTGAAAATGTGAAAAATGTGAAAATGTGAAAAAATGCAGTTGTAGAATAACTAAGATTATTAACATGTAATTTAATTCTTTTTATATCGATTTTTTTCAATGTATAATTTTGATTTCTTATTTGTCATAGTGATTATCATTGTAATAGTCTCCAACTTTATTGTGGACGGTGTTCAGTGGTTGGTGTTTGGTGGTTGGCATCTGTTGTATTATTTTGCATGTTAATGCCTTGTTTTAGTAATGCATTTACCATAATGCACTCTTGTATTGTATTTATATGATAATTTCAGAATTCTTCATGGCATTGTTTCTCGCTGAAGTCCTCACGTGGTAGTCTACTACACATGGTCTTGAGGGGACAACAGCATGAAGTAGAGAGTGCTCACTTGGAGGAGACTGTTACCATACTCTTTAAAGCCCCACAAAGGAAGGTGGACAAACGTAAGCAAAACCGTGCATCATAAATGGCGTATCTTATGCCTAAAGAGCACAAAGACGAATGTGTCATCACTGAAATCAATAAAAAGAACAAACACAATAAAACCTGACTAATCTGAACACTACTGGGTCTGGCTAAAAGTGTAAGAATTATCACAAGATTATGACTGAGAAAGTGTTCACAATGATAGGTGTTTAGATGAGAGAGGTGTTCAGATATTCATGTCTCACAACCAGTGGACAGAATTCTGAAATTGTGAATCCACATGGATGTAGATACCAGAGGCTTTGTAGCTCTAGAAACATCATAAATGTACAACGTAGTCTTTAGTCTTACTTTAAGCCTTTCTGATCCCTTTTATTGTGTCAACATAAGTTTAACATACAAAACATTTATTTTATTGTAGGCTACTTAGACATGCCTGCTGAGAGACTAACTGCCAGCCTGAATGTATGCCTGGACCACCCTAGTAAATCTGAACTCCTGGGTAGTATGGAGCTGGTTGCAATAGCTGGCACTGCACGGATACATGCACCTAAAAGTCTGGATGTAAGTGTCTAGTAGTACATATTATTGTGTATGACAAGAGTGGCCTCATTTGACTTGTATGGTGATGTGTATCTATAAATGTAATTCTTCAACTTAATATACAGTTAGCGCTAAGTAGGATATATATAATATATAATGATTAATACCTGGTGGTGTAAGTCATGGGAAAAGCGTTGAGTCGACTATGAAAAAATGTACCAAAGTCAACTAGAACACACATTTTTTATGTCTTTATTTTTGCGAAAATTGATGAAGAAAATAATATAAATGCCCCCCCAAAATAGTTCATTGATGCTTTAATTAAAACAAAGATCTTAATTAGATCATATTGCTACATTCTTTAAATATACAGCTCCATTTCTCCTTGATAAGCATAACACTGAAATTCGTTTTAATAATGTTTGCTATAGTTGCTTAAAACAGACATTATAGTACCATATATATCTATTTACAGACTATAGTACTGCATACAAGCCAGGACCAACCAGTGACAGAGGTGCTTCCCCTATTGAACAAAGGCAATATTCAGTTAAGGGTATCCCTCTCAGTAACAGATGAGACCCAGTATTTCACTGTGCTACCAAGTACTCTGTGTATAAAGCCAGAAGAGGAGGCTGATGTCGTCGTCAAGTTTAACCCAAAAAAGATTAAACAATCTCTATCGAGGTAAAACAATTTTAAAGGAACACTTGATTCATTTATAATCCTAAAAGTAATAGATATGACTTGCTACAGTGCTCACCATAAATAAATGACACCTGGATTTGCTGAAGTGAGGATTTCCCATGTTAAAAAGAAGACAATTTTCATGGAAATGGTGATAGAAAATTCAGGTGTCATTTATTTATGGTGAGCACTTTAGCATATTTCATTGTAGTCTCCAACTTTTTGTGGACGTTGTTTGGCACCTGTAACAATTAATGGCAGTTTGTGACATTTTGCATCTGAATGCCTTGTTGTTGTACTTTGTTGTGAAAAGGGTCTAATTTGAGTTTTGGGATTCGTGCCAAAATGCTAAATATTAACAGTGAGGGCAGTATAGAATCTGGATGGGAATTGACAGGGATATTAATTTATCATGCTAAGAATAGGAGATATCTCCCTCTTAAGTAATTAATAGAGGCCGACACAGTGATACCATTAGTCCTGGTAATGTAGTTACTGATTTGAAATGTCAATAAAAGTAACTGAGATTTACCAAATATGTTAATCAATTATCAGTTTCAAAATCCATGTTTGATACCACATTCAATTGCAAGAATGCATTTCTTTTTATGTGTTGACCTATTGTTATAGTCTTTTTTTTGTGAATGGCAATTGGCGGTTGGTGTTGAGCATTCAGCGGTTGGTGTTCCGAATTCATTGTCTGTAACAAATGGCAGGTGGTGACATTTTGCATTTTAATGCCTTGTTGTTCATAACATGCACTTTCTCCAGGAATTACAGAACCCCTTAGTATTACATGTACTTCAAATTAATCAGAATGACAAATAAAAGGCCTTCATGAGTATATAAATCAACATCACATGTCATTAAGGTAGAGGAAATCACTTGTGAGTTTGGAACCAAAACAATTAAAGATATGACCTTATATAAACCTACTGGCCTTGGTGGACTTAGCCGTAAATTACTGAAGCTGGCCAGTGATATAATACAAGAACCTTACATGGCTTTTGTCATTCACATATTCATTAACAGCAGTAAAATTCCCAATTTATGGAAACATGCTAAACATGTGCATGTTCATGTAACCAAACTCCGTCGAAAAGTCTGGAAGAAGGAACAGAAAATTTTTCTGATTTTTTTTTAATGTCACCACCAAAAAGTGGTGACACATTGTTATGGTTTCAGTTTTTTTGTGACAGCGGTTGGTGGTTGGCATCTGTCTGTAACAATTCCAATAGCTTAACAAATACTGTTTAGACTGACTTACAATTTTTTTTAAATTATCTACAAGTTCTCAGAAGTTCAAATCTGACTTTAGATTTGAGATTTGACCTCCAATGACCTTCTCAAGGTCAAAAAGGTAAAAAAGCTCTTTGCTTCAAATTGACTAAGTTTTTTTTCAAAATCTTCTGCAAGTTCTCAGAAGCTCAAATCTGATTATTATTAGATTTCAGTCTTGACCTTCAATGACCTTCTCAAGGTAAAAAATGTCAAAAAGGTCTTTTTTCAACTTGCCTCAAATTGACTAATTTTTTTTTCAAAATCATCCACAAGTTCTCAGTTCAAATCTAACTAACTTCAAAATGCATGCTGTATTACTATATCTAGTAATTTGGTAACTGTTTGGTGATTGGTGTGATGATTATTTGTAGTGATTTTCATAGAAACAGTATGCATTTGTGTATATTCCAGCACACTACTAGTTATGGTTGAACCTGCTGGGCCAGCATATGAGATGGAACTACGGGGTGAAGTGGCCAGTTCTTCCTCAAAGACAAGCAAATACACAGGCGCTCTCCCCACTGCAAAAGGTGGACGTGTTTCACACTCTCGAACATCCACACTCAAAGGCATCTCCCACGATGCACCTGAAGTGGATGATACCTCTCATAAGGACATTCGTAGAAATACTAGTGTTGAACCTCATAGGGAGAAGAAAGAAGAAGGCCTTTTGAGCAATAAACAGTTTCTATCTTGGGGAGGGGTACCTGTAGGTGATGCAATGTAAGAACACTTATTACGGTCTTTTTTTATTGCAGTGAATTAATCTTCTTGTACAAAATATGAAATACCAAATTCCATGTATTATGATACATGTAAAGTATACTCTAAAATTTTAAATGTTTTCTTTTTTATTATCCATTTAAGTAACATAATGGCTTGTCAGGATTAATCATTTATTTATCCATGTTTGCTATTTGTATATTCAGGCCCCAGAAAGTGTCACTGATCAACAAGACATCCAGTATGATGAAACTAACGGCTCAAATAAAAAGCAATACAACAGACTTTCAGGTAAGTTCATCTAATTAGTCCTTGTATTGGGGGACCAGGTGAATAAATCGATATACTCGTATGATTGATTACTACATTTTACCAGAGGAGAAAAATCCCTTTATGTTTTGTTTACCAACATTAATTATGTCACCACTAGAAGTGGTGGCGTATTGCTATAGTATCAAATTTTTTGTGAATGGTGTTCAGTAGGTGATGGTCGTTGTCTGTAACAAAAGGCAGGCGGTGACATTTTGCATGTCAATGCCTTGTCTGTGCCTTGTCTGTAATATCTAACTTCCCTGATGTAATCATCAATAAATTCCAATTTTTGTTTTCCAGTGTCGCTATGGTCACGTAGAGGAACTAACCAATAAGAGAGAGCTGATTCTAAAGCCAGGGGAAGAATACGATATCTATGTGGTATTCTGCCCAAGTTCACTTGCCTCTGTAAAATCCAAGCTCAGGATAAAAGTGATATCTGATGTAAAGCCAACAGCCTATTCAGTATGTATATTTGAGAATAGTTTTTTATCATTCAAAGTTTAAACATCTTGAACCATAATGTTTTCATTAAATTGGAAGATGATGTGCGGGCAAAATTTGCAATACACAGCTAAGTTTCGATATTTTGGTACAAAACTTTCTACTAAAGACCACGTGCAGTATAGCAAGTGATTTTAGAGAGTCATATCTTTCACCATGAGTACTTTCTGGCCATAAATACAATGGCTTGTATTAAAACAATACATGTATGTTTTCTTTCAAGTGAAGTCACCGTGATAGTAAAATATCAATCCAATCCCTGAAAAATTATGGATTAGGGCCCCAACCTGGTACTTTTTTAAAACTATTAGGCTTATTTTCTAAAAAGAGGATCTTGTTTTTCTCAATTTAAACATATTGAAAGTCTCCTCTACACTATATTAACAATTTCTAGAAAGGGGTGGGTATTGAAATCTGTTAAAGTTAAAAACCACATATCCCATGTTATTTTCCCATAGGGAAAACTCGTGCTATCCATTGTTTTCAGCATAATTTTGGTCATCGAAAATTGATATCTTCAAAACTAGACTTTCAATACCATTCTATTTTTGAATAATGTATTCATGCAATAAAAATCAGAAAAAGAAGATCCTCTTTTGAGTAAATAGGTTCAATATTTTGAAAAAATGTTGACATGGGGTCCTTATTCATAATTTTTCGAATTGTTTGATTCATATTTTTATCATCATGGGTACTTCACTTGAAAGAAAACATATTGTTTTAATAAATTTATGCCCAGAAAGTACTCATGGTGAAAGATATGACCGTCTAAAATCACTTGCCATACTGCACGTGGTCCTTTTTAGTGACATTTTTTCAGAAAAATCAGGAATTTTTGAGTTGTGTTATTCTGATATATTGAATTTCATTAGGGTGTTTTTGATGATGATGATGCTTCTTAAATGACTCCTAATGAGAGACCCCTGGATATATTTATGAAATTACACATTCAACATAAAAATCCCAGTACTTTATGAAAAGCAAAGATTATAACATACATGTAATTAAAGGTATAAAGCCTCTACATACTTTTATATCCACCTTCTGTCTTAATTCCTGAATTGAACTAGAAATATCATAAATTGAATCTATGTTCCAGTTACCATTGATGGGCTATGGTGGTGTATGTAACATACTACTAGAGGACACCAATTCAGCTGGTTTCCATAACAACGCAGTAAATCTTGGCAATCTTATCATCGGGAATGAACATGTTGCACGAGTGAAAGTTCGAAACATTGGAGCAAGAGCTGGTTATGTGAAGGCGCTGTGTTTTACTGGTAGGATAAATGACGATCTTACTTTTACATCAGGTTTATTGTGTCACAACCAACGAGGGGTGACATATTGTCATAGAAACCATTTTTGTGACAGACATCCATTGTTCAAGAGGTGTTGAGTCTTAAGTTATACCTAAATATCCAATGTGTATTTGACACCAATGTAAAGTGTGAAAATAGTTGTGGAAATCATTCTGCAGTGATTGGCTTGAAAATGATACAATTGTCAATCAATGCTTGTATATGCTACAAGAGTGTTCACATTTAAGGCTATATCTGTTACCATGGCAACAGATTATTGTTACCATGGCAACAGATTATGGGACTTAAAACACCTTACTTTTGTAACATAGTGATTACTTGAGAAATTATGGTTAAATGAAGTTGAAATTCATACAATCTTTAGGTCTTTCAGTGTCATTTAAGAGTGGGCGAGTTGAATGAAAATAATTAATCCTTTTCATCGACATGATAACAAGAAACCTTGTTAATTAACAATAAGGGACTTATTTTAGCACATTTTAATTATCATAGACAAGGGGGTCATCACAATCAATTACATACAACAATAACCAATGCTGCTTTTAATCAAATCATGGGGTTTCCCATATATTCAATTTATTAAAACCATGTAGGTTATCACGAAGAAAGGTTTCTGCAATTATAATTAAGTTAATTGTACTTGGTTACTATAGTATTCAAGCTACATGTGTGTTCTCAGAACCATGAGATAAATTATGATATATTTTAAAATTATATTGTGATATTTTTCATACATTGTTGCAGCTATTATATTATGCTATATTATATTACAGAAACTGCATGCAGAATTAGACTGCCATTCACCAAGGCATCAGTTGAACCAAGTGAATTTATTCTACAACCAGATGAATCAAAGGTTAGCAGTTAGTACAAAGGAAGCTCTTCAATATCAATAGCTATAAGTACTAAGCAGGTTAAAATATCAAAGTGTCCTTTTTGAGTCATTGCAGAGATTTCATCAAAATTTCTGACGTTAGTGAAATAAAACAAGGGGCAAAATTATCGAAAACTATTATTTTACTTGCAAAATTCCATGAAAGAAGGCAATTTAGGTGAAAAAAGTGGAGGAAACAACCTTTTCCCTGCTCCTAAAGTTGTGGTAGCAGCTACAAAATGTTATGCTCTCTTTATGTCTCTCTGTTACAGGTATGCCTGGTGTCATTCCGGCCTGCTAACAGAGACTGTGTGTTGTGTAGAGATGGTCCAACAATGGTGGCAGTGGTGGCGTTTTATTATGGGGATGCTTTGGCTAAAGGAAAATTCAGGAAGTATGACTAATTACCAGTATCTTATACTACTACAAGTAAACATACAATCTTACTAAGAAAAACACAAATATACAGGGTGGTCCAAAAAAAATTGGAACATTTGATAATTGAACTCAAAATCATTATTTTTTGTCTAAAATGCACCAAAATTTCACTGAGTATTGTTCAATCACTTTTTCATCTGATGTAAAGTTTATAAGTGCAAACAATAAAGTTAATGCATTAAACTAAAGAATTTTTGATATGACCCCCTTTCTCCTGAATTACAAGTTGAAGCCTGGGACTCAGTTTTGAAATGATTCATTCACTTTGCTGTTCGTTTGATTTTGTCCAAGGCATCCTGATTAAAAATTCAGCTTGAACAAACTACTTATAGGCTATGTTTGCCTTGGAAGATCAAATATATGAACATATTCAACATTTTCTTACCTAAATTGATGGGTATCAAGCATATTTTGATGGCTATTGTTGGATATATTACTGATTGAATATTCTCCAGAAAGAGGCCAGGGCAGTCTGTTTGAACTGGCAAATGAACCCCTTCCCCTTTCTTTTTCTAATATGAATAATATTCATTGAATGTATCAATATATGTATATCAATATCATAAAGGAGTTTCCCAGAACACAAATGATATATTATATTGTGTGTGCTTAGAGGTGGTCTTTAATAAATGCCTTGTAAATAACTAGTCAGTTTCCCCTCTACTGAAAAGTGGAAACAATGATTTTTCAGTTTAGCAGCTGTATGGGTTATGCAATCACTCACCTCTGACATGTTATTTCTTTCCTACTCTTAAATAAAAATAATGATTTAGGGCCATTCTTAAGTTGACAATAGCACAATAGTTTTCCAGTAAACCATAGATGTTAATACCTCATGTCAACTAAATATGATTTTATGCTGTATAGCAATCAACATGTTCATTAAAGCTTTGAAATAAAGAATACTTGAAAAAGTAGCTGCGAAACTGACAAGTGTATATTTAAGAAAAGGGGGTCATATCAAACATTGACTAGTTAAACGCATTAACTTTGTGGTTTGCACCTATAATCTTTACATCAGAGAGATAAGTGACTGAACTATGCTCAGTGAAATTTTGGTGCATTTTAGAGGAAAAATAAAGGTGTTGTGTTCAAGTAACAAATGTTCCAATTTTTTTTGGACCACCCTGTACATACACACAATTCAGCTTGATATCCTTCTGGATATATAAAGCATTTAATTACAATATTTTGTTCTAAAATAATGGCTTGTTTACTACACAAATTTGATACCTTTCTTTGAAATACATATATAGATAATTACAGGATATCCTATGATTTTGAGGAATATCATTTTTATCTACAAGGTAATATTGATATCTGCACGAGAGAGCAAAGCAAACATGTGCAAATGTTGATATCACCAATATCCTCCACGTATTGGTTTTTTAGCTCACATGGTGAGCTTTTGCAATCGCTCACTTGTCCGTCTGTCCGTCTATCTGTCCGTCCGTCTGTCCGTCAACAATAGTGGCACGTTTTAAAACCTCTGTCGATAGGATTCCTGTTTTAAGTTATTTCTGTTCAACATCAATACAGAAAACTCCCCTATGACTCCTGGTTCAAAACCTCGCCTATTTTCAAAATGGCCGCCATTTTTGTCTTGCGAAATTCACTTTTGACTGGCACGTTTTAAAACCTCTGTCGATAGGATTCCTGTTTTAAGTTATTTCTGTTCAACATCAATACAGAAAGCTCCCCTATGACTCCTGGTTCAAAAGCTCACCTATTTTCAAAATGGCCGCCATTTTTGTCTCGCAAAATTCACTTTTGACCCATTTCCTAGCTTTACAAATAATTTCAGGTGTCCTACATTGTAAAAATCTGTGTCAATGTTAAGAGTGGATATATGAAATAATTTTGTTACAAAAAATCAGCGAAAAATTATATCTATTTTTTTATTTTCAGCCATTTTAGTTAACATTGATTTGTCCATCTGACTTGTGAAATCCACTTTTCCGTCAACAACAGTGGCACGTTTTAAAACCTCTGTCGATAGGATTCCTGTTTTAAGTTATTTCTGTTCAACATCAATACAGAAAACTCCCCCATGACTCCTGGCTCAAAAGCTCGCCTATTTTCAAAATGGCCGCCATTTTTGTCTCGCGAAATTCACTTTTGACCTATTTCCTAGCTTTACAAATAATTTCAAGTGTCCTACATTGTAAAAATCCATGTCAATGTAAAGAGTAGATGTATGAAATAATTTTGTTACGAAAAATCAGCAAAAAATTATATCCATTTTTTTTATTTTCAGCCATTTTAGTTAACATTGATTTGTCAATCTGTCTCGCAAAATCCACTTTTGGACCATTTGCCTTAAACCCTCTGTGGATAGGATTCCTGTTTTAAGTTAATTTTGTTCAACATCAATACAAAAAACTCTCCTATGACTCTTGGTTCAAAAGCTCGCCTATTTTCAAAATGGTCACCATTCTTGTCTCGCGAAATTCACTTTTGGCCCATTTCCTAGCTTTACAAATAATTTCAGCTGTCCTGCATTGTAAAAAGCCATGTCACTATAACACCCTGGACGAAGTGATAAGGTCAAAACAAGTGGCTCTGATTTAGGAAAAAACGATCTTCCTAAAAATTAATAATTTTTGTACCCCAATTTTTGTAAGGTTAAATTCTTGTGGACAAAGAGGAGAATCATATACAATTTTGTATTATGTTCAAGTGGTACATCCTAAACTACTCAGTTCGTGTGTTTTAAATTGAATGGAACGCGCATTAGTGGCTGGAGTGTAAATTAAAGTTGAGAATTATATCTCCCGCTAAAAATTACGATTTTATATTGTCAAAATATCTTTCATTGATGATCAATGATGCATATAAACGTTCATGCACACCGAGATTGTATGTTTCTTTTCATATGTGCATTTACAGCATCGACAGTTATTTTAATTTGATGTGATGCCTATTGTTTTACTTCCGACAACGAACATTTGAGGAAAATAAGCGGTTATTGATTTGCGATGGTGATTTGTGATAAAACGCGGCTTTCTATACCTGATTTAGTTTCATTAATTTAACGTTTTCCAGTCATGTCCTATGACAATCGCCGTTATGAAGCGTCGAAAATCTCTTTATATTACATCAAGTCATGTGGAAGTGGCCTTTGGATGAAATAAGAGTCTAAGATACATGCAGCTTGTTAGACGTACGATGCCCGTTGTCAACGCAAAGTCCAAAGATCTGGATGTCAAAACAACCCCTTTATTTACACTGCCATGGCACATGAATGGGAATTATGTTTATGTCCACTATTTTAGTAAATCGTCTTGGACATTTACTATAGAACAAATCATTTGCCTTACTGTATCTTTTGTTTAGCCTGAGAAGCAGTCACAGTGATTGTTTAGATTTTTGATTCAATCTCATTAATTTTGATGAAGCCCTCTTTTAAGCAGTTTAGTCGAATGAATGCAAAGGAATAATATAATGTATTTGTTAAAGTTCCACTTTTTTTAAAAATAACAATAGTATTAATAAAGTTTTCAAAAATAAACTTTATTCTATCATCTATATCTGTGTAAAGAACTATACAATTAAGAAAACAAATAACTACAGTATGTAGTGTTGATATTTGCACTTTTGTGTTGATAATTACCTATAATATTAATGTAATTACCTTTAATAATCATATAATTACCTATAATAATTATTCCAAAATATGATTAAAATTGTTACTCAAATAGTTATGACTAACAGTTATTATAAAAATAAGGTCAGGTATGCATTAGGTATGCATTACAAAATTGTATGACCAGAATCATGACAAAGTATATATATAAGAATACCCTTTTCTTAAATTGCAATTTATGAATTATCAAAAATATATTTCACTTCATCAATCATCACTTGTATAAATCTAGATTTTCTTCATCCTAGTATAAATTAATAAAAACTGAGGTAACAAAATAATTTGCTATCTATGACATGTCAAACATGTAGAGCTATCTAGTATATATTTCATATACAGTGCCCCAAACAAACATAATATAAGTATTTCACATTTTAAAACTCATCTTTAAAATCCTTTTAACATGTAGCCTATTAATTAGACATCCATTCCACATATTTTCCATATATTCTGTGGGAATCAGAGCCGCGTTTTTTCCAGAAAATAAATCTAATCTCGTCTCAGGGACGTAAATTACTTCTTGTATTAGAAAAATAATGGTGATTTGACATTCCCTGGTTCATAAACCATCATATCGCCAAATATCAATGCATTTGAAACAGAGTATCTACCATTTTTTCGAAAATAATCAAAAAAAAAATATTGCGGTTATTTACAAAAATATATTATTTCTATTCGTATTCATTTCGTTTCTTAGTAGTATTAATTGTTACAATATTATATATAGAGAGGTGGATATGTCTTGGATCAATGTACCGAGTTTGAACATGTCAGGTGGCCAAGAAAGGGTATAATTTAAAGAAATAAACTCACCCCTGCTCTGCCATGTTTATTTTTAGGAAGATCGTTTTTTCCTAAATCAGAGCCACTTGTTTTGACCTTATCACTTCGTCCAGGGTGTATAAAGAGTAGTTGTATGAAATAATTTTGTTACAAAAAATCAGTTTTTTTTTTTCAGCCATTTTAGTTAACATTGATTCGTCCATCTGTCTCTCAGTCAGTCCAAAAAAGTGGCAAGTTTTAAACCTCTGTCAACACTTTTTAAATCCTCATGCGCACTTTTGAGCAACAACATGTGAGCCCAGTACCCACAGTACTAATTTTTTCGGAGTATATGGTAACGATATCCTCTGCATATTGGTTTTCGGAGTATATCGCGGCGATATCCTCCAGTTATTTATTTTGCCAATAGATATCAAATTTATTTCTTGATGCTATAATACATATAGTACACTAAGTGTAGGATAATAGATATACTAATGATATATTTTCTAGGTGCGTATTAGAGCACGTTTCAGTGCTCTCCTCACATTGAAATCTCTGAGATGCAGCACCTTGATGTCATAAAATGTTGCACAAAATCTAAGAAAATTCTAAAATGTTGCACTAAAAAAAATAACAAAATTCTCCACACAAAAATCCTGGGGAGAGCACTGAAGACTGTGACATTTGAATTTTTAGGTCACTTCAAAAATCTCGTCATAAACCTCCAGTACCAAGCCAGGCACTCAGAGATGTGGATTTTGATGTCACTTATCTGGGAGAGTCCAACTTGGATGACAACACTAGAAGTATGTACGAGGGGTGATCAATAAGTAGTAGATGTATTTCTATGCATGTACGAGGGGTGATCAATAATTTGTATATGTATTTCTATGCATCATGAATATGAATTTTGAAAATATTTGATGGGAGCAAATGTTACCCTTTGTAAAAGTTTATAAATAAATGATTGCAGCAATATGAACAGATAATGGACTTTCAACATAAAGCTTGAGAAATCTGATCTTTGAACAGATAAAAGTTTAACACTTTTAATGAGAGACTAGAAAATTTGCCATGAGTCAAAGAAAATCTAGTATATATGTTACGAAAGAAAAATTAATCCAAATTTTCCCATTTTGTATCCTGATCTTTTCAAAATACTACAAAGCATAATTAATTCAGAAATCATGTAAGTTTGATTGTGACTTATACATGTTTCTCTGTATTTGAAAATAAATATAAACCTAATTTTTACATTCCAGACCCTGACCTTTCCCCCAATGATTTGGATTTATTCTACAACACAATGTCCAGCAAGATCGTGTCTTTAGTTGGGGAATCTCATGATGACACGACAGGGGGTGGGGGAAGCATCCCCCAAGGGGTGGGGATGTTTGAAGGCATGGGACCACTACCTCTGGATGATAGTGCTATGACTGTCATGGATGACACCAGGAGAGCTACACTGGAGCCTACTTTCCATAGAGCTTCCATGCTGCCACAGTCAAGTAGAGATGTGTAAGGGTCACTTGTAACTAACTATATCAAGACATATAAGAAATTTGTATTCATAATTTTGAAATTGCATGCAGGATAGAATTAAGATTCCTTGTATCGTGTAACTCTACCGAGTCATATGAAACACTTGCATACTCAATTTTGAAAATTTACATAGGATGAAATTAAGATTCCCTGTATTTTCAAATCCATGGATCAAAGCAAAGTTTTTTTGAGAACTTTGATTCTCTATTTGCTGTCTTTTTTTTATGATAATTTTTTGCTGTATTTCAGTATGCCAAGTATGCCATCTCCTCCTGTGAAGGAAACATCTGCTCCCTCTGTTGGTAGATATTCTGCTCCCCAGATGGCAGCATCTACAGACACGCAATCTGATTGGTTGATACGACCACCTCAGATTATTCTCCCTGCCCCTAAGAAAGGTAAGTAAAAGTAACATCAATACTTTGAATGATGACATCCAGTATAAGAATTTCCTTGGGCTATCAGTATAACTTATACACAGGGAGATATGCAGAGTTCTAAAATAGTACTCATGCCATTTTAGTGCTGAGTACTCATAGTAAATATTAGTATTAAATGAGCACTTAAGACATGAGTACTGATTTATTGCATTTTTTTGTACCAAATGAGTACTCATATGATGAGTAGGGGTGAGACGAGTCGAAAAAATCCGATTCGAGTTGAATCCGATTCGAGTTGAATCCGATTCGAGTCAGAAAATGACGATTCGAGTTTCGAATCCGTTTCGAGTCGCGCGAAGTGCGAACAACATCGCTTTTGACCATTCATATTTTTAATGCGTCAATGGTTGAAAGCCGGAAATATAAACAAACACAATTCGTCGTAAGTTTATTATGATTTTATTACATATATTCTTTCATTTATGTGTACATACAATATAATAATTTAATACAAGCATATCCAAGTCATTGAAACTTATATATTCAACGCAATATCGAGTAAAAACATGCATATTGACAGTATTTTTCTGAATTTTTTTATTTTTTCGAATTTTTTTCTCAACTCGAAAATGATTCGATTCATCAACTTCGACTCGATTCGACTCGACTCGAAGCCCCAAACCCGCGAGTCCTCGACTCATCGGGTTGTCCTCTCACCCCTAATGATGAGTGATAAAATAGTGCTAATTTCATTGATTTTTTAGCCCTAAATTGGTACTCATATCATAAGTGATAAAATAGTACTCATAAAATTGATTTTTCAGCACTAAACGAGCACTCATATCATGAATTAGTACTAAATTGGCACTCATGGCATGAGTGCGCTTTTGCCAGAGTGCTAATTTAGTACTAATTTTGTACTAATTGAGTAATCGGCATATCTCCTTGTGTGTAATACCAAAGAAAATATTGGTTTTAAATGTGTTTTTTGTAGACTTATTTTCTCACAAATTAAAGTATGGGGAAATGGAGAACACCCCCATCCACCCCCCATCTTTTCAACTAAAACCATTGGCATATATGAAAACTGTTTTTCAGATGGCCCCTTGCAGACAGAGAGGTTATTACAACGTGTTCAGATTGTCAATTATAAGGACACCACGCTAAGGTAATACTAATAATAATGTAGATAGAATGTTGAGAAATGAGTGGTCTTGTATTGTCACATCTATTGAGCATACCCCATACTTTTTGTTCCATTCTAATTCCAGACTTTTCCACTTAAAATCTGAGTATTTTAACTAAATATGTATTGTTATAGGTTTGAGTAGGCAATACCTATAAACAATACTCAATAATTCTTTCATATTGACAATTATTTATATTGACTCAACAATTCTCTTTATTGAAAGATGTCACTCTAATTTGCCTGGTAAGAAAACAAAATAATAAAATATTCTCATGTATTTTAAAAACTATCATGTTCACTCCAAAAGTTTTACAGATTATTTTTACAATGAACTTCTTATATGTGTCTATTATAAATTAATATACATTTATTGTATGCTAAATCTAACAAATTGTAAAATTGTAATTTCTGGTTTAGGTTTGATTTACTCTGGCCTGGGCACTGTCTCCAAGTCACACCAGAGCAAGGGGAAGTCCAGTCAAAGTAAGTAGATAAAGAAGCTTGTTGAAACTATGTCACTATTTTATTGCAACCATGTTAGATCATTTGAAACCTTGTAGCAATCATGCTGAAATCATGCAATTATTTCAAACCATGTACACAATAAAGAATCGGATCAGAATTCAGTTTTTATGTCGCCACCAGAAGTGGGGACATATTGTGATAGTTCATTTTGTGGTAATCTTTGGTGTTTGGTGGTCAGTATTCCGCAGTTGATGTTTGGTGTCTGTTATAAATGGTAGGCGGTGACATACATGCATGTTAATGCCTTAAGCTTGTTTTCCCTATGTTAAATCGACCATTTGTACCTTGAACTTAACCGTTTGTTGTATAAGGCTGTTTGATTTTGTAATATAAGACTCATGTCCGATAAAGCCTATTGTACATAACTTAATTAACATTGCAATGTAAAGGGAAACACTACCTGATGCTTTATTATATTGAACATGGTCACACTAACCTTGTGTGTTCTATTTGAAAGTTATCAATATATTTTACCTCCATGAGCCTTGCCTTGACATTTACGTTTGCAATGACAATAAAGTATTACCAGCCTTGACTTTGAAGGCCATTAACCTGTTTAAACTATAAATAAAATGTCAGTGTCTATGAGTTAAAAGTTGAAAATTAAGATAAATTGAAAAGTATTAAACCAATAAAAATGATGTACTGTAATCATTATCAAAATTAATGCAGAAAACAATCCAACAAATCAGATGTGACTATTGATTTTATATTGATTCATATCATGTTAGTCTCCAACATACTTTATGGTTTAGATATGGTTCACTATACAGTAAATGTCATGTGTTTGTACTTACTATAGTATAAGGTTACATAGATGTAAAGTGAAGTTTCTTTGGGATACAAGTACAGTTAAATTTGTTGAGTGGAACCCTTTATAAATCCTCCATTGTTTTTTTCCAATATTTGTAGAATAATAATATTTGTGAAGGAAATTTCTGAAGGGAATCTCTTTGAGGTTTCAAATTCAGCAGCAAGAGGTTTAACTGTATCGGTTGATAAAACTTGTCATTCATTAACTTTTCAGCCTTTAGAAAATTTAAACTCAATAAAACATCTTTAGAAAACAAAAATGAATATTCTCGATTTGTATCATGATTTTGTTTGTTACATCATCACGACATATTGTTGTCATCTCAAACTTTTTTTGTGAATGGTGTTTAGTGGTAAGTGTGTTACAAATAGACTAGATGCGAATAGAAATAATCTTGATTTACGTCATTAAATGTTCAAAGTTTAGTCAAAGTGATGTCGTATTTGAAATCTACATGTTAAAGTACGTCTAGAAATATAGTTTAGAAAATTGTTTTTCAACTTTGAGAATTTAATTTTTTTGAAAACGTGACTTCTAGTTTGGGTTGATTCCCCACGCAATGTTACAAAATCACAAAAAGTGAAATATCTTTTCTTTTATTGGACAGATAACATTTTCTTTTACTTGGCATATTTTTATTTGTATAACTATTAGATACATAAGGGTTATTTGAAAGTTGAACCACTGAAACAGGTGTAATTTAAGTTAAAGGGAACTTTCTACTATACCCGCCATGCTATCTGACCCAAACGAGCCACCTGGTGGTGAAACTGGTAACTACTTACTCACATCTGCGTCATTATAAGACAGTGACATTTTGTCATGTTAATGCCTTGTTTTATCTTCATTATTTAAAGAGGGAGGTTGTTTCTCAATAATTAACCTGATATCTATAACAGTATCAATGTGACCGATATTATAATGTACTAATATACGACTAGACACTGCTAGACAGTAGATGAACTCTGTATGAACCGAGCTTTAAAAAAACATTATTAACCTTTATTAGTAATATATACCTTGGTTAAATGTTTCAATGCTTTTTAATCATCTAATAAAAAAACAATAGACTATGCCTGTTGAATCATGCCTTGTATTGGTTATCATATCATTCTTACACTTTGATTAGATAATTTCAACATTTTTTTACGATTTTGTTTCAAAACATTAATGCCTGCTAATATAACTAAGAAATCATAAATCAAGGTAACTTCAATTGTGAATTCCCTTGGTTACGTGTCCATAATGATAAACAAATTTAACAACCAATCAGATAACAATTTTGCTTGGTATATTAAAATTTCAGATTTAATTAAGTTTTGGCGAAAGTAACTCACTCCGTCTGTATAATTGAAAAATTAGCACTGAAATTGGAGGATTCTTACTTTGTAAGTAGATAGATGAATATGTGGTATGGCTCAACATCCCAAAAAAAGTCCAGGGGGTCTTGATTATGCTTTTTATGGTATAGTTACTCTTTAAAGTTACAAACTATTTGTACATATGAGGCTAGGGCAATGCCTTCTGATCATATAATAAGGCTAAGGTTATTGGACACGAAATAAACTGATGGACAACTTAGTTACATCCCATACAGACATGACACACCTCAAACAACAGTTTGAATTCTTGGGATGAGTATTTCTGCTGTCCATCTCCCATGACTTTGAAACCAGATCCTTTTTCTTGAAACACGATGGAGCTTTCAGGCTTAAATAATGTGCAATATCCTCTAAGTTTCATGTATAACATGTATTCTGTGGTCACATTTTTAACAACGAGTGCCTTCAAGCACCCAAGTTACAATGGTTAAGCTAAACTGTTGCCATAGTAATCATAATTTGGGTACCAGAAGGCACTCATTGTTAAAAATGTGATCTTGTAGAATATATGACTTGTAATATGATTTGTTTTCCACATGTCATAACGTTTGTTAATAAACTTTATTTACATATCAGGCCCATAGCCAGGATTTGCCAAGGGGGTTGAGGGGTTCACTTTTTTAAAAGTTTCCATCAAACAAACATATTTTATTAAATTTTGGAGATTACATGATAATAAAAGAATTTGCACCAAATCATATAACTGGTTTGAGTTATTAGAAATTTCATTTTTTCATGAAAAATGGCAGCAATTTTGAACAAGCAACCATCTTAAATTCCTTCTCGAGCAGAGTTCTATGTCTCTAAAAAATCAGCATATAAAATTTGAACCAAATTTGTCAACTGGTATTTGAGATATCAAACATTACCTTTCCTACTTGAGTATAGGCCCTTTCCTTTGCCCATAAGCGATTAGCCTATTGCATTTTGTCCAAAAATGGTATCTTAGTTATAAAAAATTACATGTTTTATTTAAAAAAATGGTGGTCATTTTGAAATTAAATGACCATTTGAAAATGTCCTCTTGAGTAGAGCTCCTTTGTCATTAGGCATCATTATATAAAATTTGAATGTAATCCATCAACTGGGATTTCAGTTATCAAAGATAAGGACACCTACTTTTGAAAAACTGAACACTCTAAAACCCTAGTAGTTTGTTAGGTAAGGTATTAAATTAACAAAACAGATTTCAAGTATCATTTACAGATGGAATTTTGAGAATATCCCCATCACGAGTACCTTTAGGTTTAAAAAATACAAAAATTAATAAAACATGTATCATCTTACCTCACCCTAACATGAACTCCAAATTATCACTGGAAGGAATCTACAGTCATGATACATTGATTACCAATGACATTTAGAATATTTATTGGTGGAGAAGTATCTTTGCGTATGACTAAGGAGTGTTAAAATAAGAAGTCATAATAGTACCTAAAATAGAAAGTAGGGTTTTCAAAATGGCCACCTACTAGCCCAATTATCACAAGAGAGTGTTATATGCTACCGATGGTCACTTAACAAAATCACTCCACTGCTTTTCCATTAATAACAAAAATAAAAACATAATGTAACTAACGGCTCCAACCTCTGTGGTAGTGTGTGTTTGATGTTATGATTTGGGAAAGTTGGGGTTCGTTTGTTTATAAAAGGGGTGTGTCGGGCGTGTCGGGCGTGTCGGGGTCGGTTGACACTTTTACTTGAGCCGAGTCTACTGCCTATAAATAGTGACAAACACAGTATTTCAGTTTACTTATGAAAATAAATTAGCTCTATTTTGGCTGTTATTAGCCCACAAAATGTTACAAAAATAAATCGAGAATGTCTCTAGCTTTGTGTTGATTATATCTCTAATGTCCTTGAATCAAGTATCTTGCATCCAATGTCTATATCTGCTTCAATGTCTATAATTTTATAAATCTTTTTCTGTGTCTGTTATCTGTATCTGGCCAGTTTTCTGTTGTAAAGGTCTCTTTCTCTGTATATGTATCTGTTCCTCACCACAGCAAGGCTCTTTACTCAGTGAACCTGAAATTACAATCCCTGGAAAGGAATGTCTGGAACAGAAACTCTGAAATAGAATGCCTACAAAGCAAACTCTAAAATAGAATGCCTACAAAGCAAACTCTGAAATGGAATGCCTACAAAGCAAACTCTGAAATGGAATGCCTACAAAGTAATCTCTGAAATGGAATGCCTACAAAGCAAACTCTGAAATGGAATGCCTACAAAGTAATCTCTGAAATGGAATGCCTACAAAGCAAACTTTGAAATGGAATGCCTACAAAGCAAACCCTGAAATTGAATGGCCTACAAAGCAATCTCTGAAATGGAATGCCTACAAAGCAAACCCTGAAAAGTAGAAGGCAGACCCTGAAAATATACAAAAGGCAAACCCTGAAAATATATAGAAGGCAAACCCTGGAAATATATAGAAAGTAAACTCTGAAATGGAATGCCTACAAAGCAAACCCTGAAATGGAATGTCTGCAAAGTAATCTCTGAAATGGAATGCCTACAAAGCAAACCCTGAAATGGAAAGCCTACAAAGCAATCTCTGAAATGGAATGCCTACAAAGCAAACCCTGAAAAGTAGAAGGCAAACTCTGAAAATATACAAAAGGCAAACCCTGAAAATATATAGAAAGTAAACTCTGAAATGGAATGCCTACAAAGCAAACCCTGAAATGGAATGCCTACAAAGCAAACCCTGAAACGGAATGCCTACAAAGTAATCTCTGAAATGGAATGCCTACAAAGCAA